AGAATTATTTTATTAGAATTTACTCAATTCTGTACTATGATCACGGGAACAATCAATGATTCAAACAATTAAAACTTCTTTGATTTGTATCACAGATCACAACTTGCACCACTCAATAATACAAATTCCTATCTCCGTAACTACGAATTCAAGCATCTGAAATTAATAATAAATTTTCCTAAACCCAAATTCTCAATCAAAAATCAAAACGAAATGAAAAATAAATCGTGAAATTACTATAATAAAAACAAAAAGAAATCTTACCTACTTCGTCGACGTTAGTCGAGATTCTTAAATTTTCGAGCTAAAAATAAGCCAAGCGATTTTCCCATGGTTCAAGATCGGGAGCAACGTTTCGCAAGCAAATAAGGGGACGCGCATACGAAGGGGAACGGTTCTGCTGTGTAACCTGGCAGCCTATTAAGCTGACCTTCTTCTTGTGAGCGACTGCACAGTTACACCGGTAGGACCTCTTCAAGACCAGGTTTTAAGACCAGGTTTTCAGACCAGGAGAGGAGAAGGAAAACTTACTCAAAGACGTCTGAAATGAGAGACGGTACTCTGAAAATGATAGAGGCAAACACGGCGTGCAGCGCGCGATTTAAGTGGAAACACCTTGGCTCTCGTGTCGTCGATGAAACTTTCAAAATTCTTCGTTCTCTGAAGCTAAAGATCCTCGTCGTACCAGTTCCTCTGGATTCTCTTTTTCTCTTTCTCTCGCGACCCGAGTAAAATTGTCAAGACGGTTGAAGGCGTTCTAAATAATATCTGCAAGATATTTGCGGACGTTCCATGCTAAAAGGAATTTCGTTTGCCGGATGTTTGATAGTTGGACGAGGGCTTCCTTTGTGATTCTGTTTTCACAAGCAACTGTTTTACGAGTTCCTAAACACTGCAATTTTGGATTAACGCACATTCTTTCTAACTTTTGCTTCGTTCTTCGAGTTACCAACTCTCGAGACGTACGTCTGCATGGATTCAGAGAGTCATCGATACTAACGCCACGCGTGGGCATAAATAGTAATTATTTTCACGCTATTTTGAGGTTTGTGATTTTTCCATTCTAGTCATTCTATAATTATGTCTAAGAAATCTTACGAATGTAATTTGCAGGTTTCTCATATGTTTTTATTATTATAACGATACATGAAATTTTCAAAATTTTTCCATTATTATATCTTTTTATTTCTACATTATACGAACTTTCATTCCATTTTCCAATGTTCAAAATCGACACGGTATTAAAATAATGAATTTTTTTATATCGTTTTCTTGGCAAATCAAATATATATTCGGAAGATCTAGAAAAAAACTTGATTCCTTTTCATCAACACGAATTTCTTCTTTATGGATTAAACAAGCATACTATTGGACGATTGCACCGATCATTTCTCGCGTAAAAAAGAAGAAGTGGAAGTCGAAATTACACGTTCGAATTAATGGAAACGTTTAACGACGCGTGTCGTCGAGGAGGAATGGCGATTCATCTGGCAAGGACGAGTTCCCTAAGAAAAAGGAGAGGGGAGGATGCGCGAGCAAGCGTCGAGGGTCATTATAATTTCGTCAGTTTTTGCACGCGTTGCTTTTGCTAGGCTGTCGCGCGTCTCGTCGTTCAAACGAACTCGTTAATTCCATCCTCGCCATTAATATAACGGAACTGTGTCAGAGGCTGATACCGTTGGATTAAAAGGATTAGATAAAAAAAGAGAGAAAGAAAGAAGAGAGATAGAAAAAAGAAATGGGGAAAAGAAAAATTGAAGATAGAAAACTCGACTTCTGGGAAAGAGAGGACGATCTCTTCTCGGGTAAGAGTAATCAGTTCAGAAATCAAAAGTTTCGAGCGGATGCTTTTCTCTTGAGAAAAAGAAGAAAAAAAGAAAAAAGAAAAAGAGAAAAGAAAGAAAATGAAGGGAGTTGCGGTGAAGATCCTTAAATCCTCGTTATGGGAGTTTGAAGCACGCGTTATTCGAAGATTGCTTATCCTCCGTTGAATGGCCCGAGACATTCGATGTCTGTCTCCTTTATTCCCTGCGATTCGAATTTGTATTTCATCTAGCCTCCTCGAAGATTATCAGATAATTTTAATTAGCAGTTTAAGGTTTTTGCGAGAGATCTGCCTTGCCTAAAAATACTACATTATAGATAAATTGCACAGTAATATTTATTATCTTATTAATTTCATACTTAATTTCATATACGTTTAAAATTTCAATCGATACTTATCCAAATATTCTTCCAAAAAATTTACTCGACTGATTTGAAAACCTATTTTTCGTAATTTTCTTAATATTATTTTTTTTATTAAAAATTCATGAAAATGCGGATCTGAGAATCGGTTGATTTGATTATTTAAATTTAATAATTTAGAAAATCTAGAAAATCAATCGTGGAAATATATCACTTTAGGATGATGACTTTCGAGAAATACAAGACGAATCAGAGGATGATGAACTTTAACGAGGTTAATACTATCAAAAGATTCGATGTATCGAATTATACGCGAGCTGGACGAATTCCATTTAATTATCTCGCATTCTCGCGATTCCGCGGCCACGACTCGTGAATTACGGACAAACTCTCGACGGTTGCATGGATTCAGGGGGGCCATCGACACTGGCGCTACGCGTGGGCGTAAATAGTAACTAGTTAGATTCGCGTCGACAAAGAGAATAAAAACTTTTCTCGGGAAAGCAGGATGGAGGTATAGAACGTCTGGCGGCAGCGCGTCTTGAAAAAAAAAAGAGATCCTGGCAATTAACTCGAATATCACATTATAAATATTTGACTAAGAGGATTGTTAATTGAAGAAGAAAATCCATCGAGACAGAGAGTTGAACTCTTTTAATATCTCTTCTTTTTTTAGATCCTCTTTGTCTTTTTTTTTTTTTCTTTCTGTTTTTAGAGATTGTACGAGGTCCAGAACGAACTCAACGCTCGTCCAAGGGAAGGGAAGTCTGAGAGAGGAAAGAGGATCAATAGTAAAACACGATATTCGAGTTTCTCGAGGATTAACCTGGTCACGCAGTTGCACTTGCCTCGATGGTTCTTCCTTTGATCGTTTCGAGTCTTTTTTAAAGATTGTGCAGATATCTCTTCGTTGCACGGCTCGTTGGAGAAGAACGTTCGGCAACGTAACAGAGCAATTTGACGATAAGTTTGCTCTGTTTAATTATAGAAATTGCTCGTTTAAACGACCGTTTCGCGTGCTTGATCGAGTAAATATCCTCGAGGATGCGATCTTCGAATCTTCGAATCTTTTCTTTTCTCGAACAATTCTTCGAGAACGATTAACGAATAATAATAAAATACGATAGCAATTTTTTTTTCTCAAATATTCAGACCATGAAACGATCACGTTTTCTAATGAAGAAAGAATCTTGGCAATCATTATATCAATTTTTCTCAATCTTCTCTCTATTTATTAAACTATAAATATATTTTTCTTTTCCAAAGAAGAGAAATTTATGCGTCAAGCGTGCGATAATTGTATTAAAATTTTCGAAATTACTTTCAGCGATCCCTATTGAGCGAAGCCAGGTCCGGCGCATTGTCCCAACAGGGCCAGGCATGCATTTATGTATGCAATACTCCGAGACTTGGAGCGCCTCGACACCCTAATACGCCGTTATAATTTATAGCAGGCTGCTCCACGCTTTCGGATACATCATCATCCTGCAATATCGATCGGCCGTACAATGAATAATCATGCTTCTTCCTCGAAATGTGAAAACCTCCTTGGCGAGTATTGATGTAACTCTTATCTTTATTGGCGAAACGATGAAAAGTTAAGTTCTGACGAAAGAAAAACAAATAAATTAGGGATCTTGGACTGAAGAAATTAAAAAAAAAAAAAGAAAAAGGAATATAGAAAGTAAAATTTCCGAAAAACGAAAAATATTCGCAATATTTGATTTACAGAAAAAAAGTATATCATCAATGAGATGATGACGTGGAGAAAACACGGAATTAAATTATTTCAAAAAAAAAAAAAAAAAAAAAAAAAAAAAAATAAGGAAGTGAAAGTCAAGAGAGAAAAATTCTCCTTCATAATTTGATTACTTCATAAAAATTTTCGATCTAAAACTTTACGAAAAAAATCGAATAATCGAAATCGTAAAGAAGCTAAACAGAGTTACAAAAAAAGAAAAGACAAACTTCGAGAGGAAAGGAAAAAAATTCGTCAAGGATCGACGAATTTAATTTCCTGGGCCGAGATCTGCTCATCATGGCATCCGATGTTCGACAAAAACCCGAATTATACCCGGCCATTATTCCCGTAATCCGTTAATCCGTAAATCGAAACACTCGCTCCTTCGATCTGAATTTCAATAGGTGGCTGGATATCGACGAAAACACGAATAAAACAGGCGACCTTCTATATAAATATCCGGAGGGGAGGGGAGGGGAGGATAATTCATCGAAATAAAATTCAAGGATTTACGGCTTCTACGTCCCCGTATCCATTGTAAAATGACCACGGTCGATGTTTCATGTTCGAAAAGATTACAATTCGACGATGGATTTTAACGTTCGAGCGTGTGGATTAAACCCACATCGCGTATAATAAATGACGAGTAATTTCGTACATATATATATATATATATTTGATTCGTCACGATATTATCGTGATTATAGCAACGATTGCTTATAATGATTTCGATATTAACATTTTTGATATTTCGTCGCATTATTTTTGTAATTATTATTATACGAAATATGTTTACAACAGAATCAACAGAGATCGAATAATAATATTGTCAAATGTATAAAAATAAATACAACAGTATATATATACATATCATCATTTTTTTTAAAATTTAAATTCAATATTTAATTCGAGAGATATCCGAAACGTCATCCGAAATTCTTTAAAAAATCCATCATGCCTCTCGAATCGTGTATCGATGTATATGTGTATATAATATAATATATGTGTGTATATATATATATATATATATACAATTCACACGGTTTCGAAACGCGCTTCTCCTCCATTAATCCTCGCGGATGCAAAGCAACGCGATTCCCACATCAAATGTAGCGTGAGTAGATAGAATCGGGGGGCGAATAGATTCTTCTGTGGAAAGGAAGATAGGGCAGGAGGAGGATAGGCCGTGGCGAAGCTTCCAAGGCCGGCGATCTAGGCCATCTCTGGCCCGCTAATGGATTACCAAGGCGCTCGATAGCAATTAGGATGATATCGACGAGGGAGGCCGGCCGAAAGGAAAACTTCCGGATAATTGGCGGCCGTGGAACGAGAGAATTCCTTTCACTCCGAATTACTTTTGCTCACCAACGCGATCGAGAAATTAATTCGAGAAACTCTCGAGGAATTTTCTGCCGTATCGTGGGAGTAATGATATTTTATTGGGGAGAACGAAGAGCGATGGGAAATAGAGTGACATAAGGATGAATGATGAATAGGAAATGTGTTTGGAGGTAAAGTCGCGTAATTTAGCTTAAAATTCGATTAAATTCTATTAAAATTAAGAAAACTTTGAACTCCGTTGTAACTCCGGGGATAGTGACTTCCGGTCGATGAGTGAAGGATCGTTAGAGGGATGAAACTTTGCTCTTTAAAACGCATTTTCAATTATCCTGATATGATTTCCGGTTCCGGAGATATCGTAGTGTAAAGAAGAGATAATTTTTAATTGTTCATCTTCGAAATCCGATCAAGATTGGAAAATCTTTAAATAATCTTTAAATCATTGTAACTCCAAGAATAGCGAAGGATGAAGCGTGGATTCTTGCTTTTTAAAATGCATTTTCGTTCATCCCAATAGAACTTCCGGTTCTGTAGATATCGTCGTGTAAAGAAAAAGATTTTTAATCATTTACCTATCTCTGTTCTTATCACTTGCACTCGTCTCATTGACTTCAGACAAGTGACAAACGCGATTCTAAGAAGATACATTTCTAGGAAAAAATATAAATTACTAGATCGCTGATTCTCTCTTCACTAGTGTCTTAATCGCTATGGACAGTTCGATTTCTTATATCTCGTTAATTGATTAAGATATCGGGATGAAACAAAAAAAAAAGAACTTCAATGATTTTTTTTTTAAAATAAATTTTGATAATAAAATTTTTAATTTCTTTTTAAAAGTTATACGCGAGAAATACAAATGAATTTATTTGTGATTCCACGTTTCCACAAATTTTTAGTATAAACAAACAACATTGTTGGATTCAAACGAATGATCGTGCACACTCCGTTAATTTCAGATATTCTATCACGGTTATAAAAAAAATTGCAAAAAAAAAAAAACGAGGAGAGGGGAAAAAACATTTGAAAAAGCAAGTTTCCGAATATTCGTGTATATTCCCGTCCAACCGAAAATTTCTGATCCCCCGTTGAAAAGTATATTGGGTCAATGCTGGAAAAGTGTTTTCGACAGTTTCAACTCCATTCAATGGTTCATTCGTTACACTTTTGACACTCCACCCACTCTTAATTCGATTATCGGTATATATCCAGGCTTTGAGCTTCGGCTGAGAACCGGATATGGTGTGTACTGACCCGTCAACGTCTAGCCAATTAGACGGATACCTCTACATCGCAAACGCTCATCCGCCACTGCTTGCTTCCGGCCCCTAGCCTAAATTGCATTTGACTAGAAATAACTTTCATCGATGTATCTGTTTCTATTGGATTTTACGAGCTGCTGATTTTTCATAAAATGAAAATTCTGTGAGTAATATTTATTTCGTTTTATTGTGGACTTATTTTTCAATGAAGCTTCTTTTCCTTATCCATACTTTTCGTTTAAATCCAAAGTTGATCTCGTCCTCTGAACAAAATAGAATGTTAAAGTTAATAAAATATTTTTAAAGAATTTTTCTTTTCTTTTCTTTTCTTTTTTTATTTAAATTCAAAATTGTTATATTAATTCGATTTCGAAGTCATTAGAAAAATCGAGTCTGCCAACGTTTCGAATATCAAAAAATATCACGACCAATAATCAGTAAACGTCATTAAATTTAATGATAAAAATAAAATTTCGATATATTCTTTAAACGTTTATTATACTATAAAATCTTATCGAATTTTCTATTTAACGATTTGAATATCGATTCTTTGTTATCTATTCAGAGCAAGAAGTACGAAGAACAGTAGACGATTGGTCGAATATTTTTCTTTTTTTTTTTTGTAAATGAAATTTCAGGTACCTTACGTATGACGTACATATAAAGAAATATGATTTACACCAGCGATCCATAGGTAGAGAGGATGAGATTTTTATCCAATCCTCTTTCGTGATGATTAATTCGAGCCGGTATAACCTTGCCTCGAAATGGCGGATGAAATTGGAAAAAATGTTAGAGGATTGTTTCATGAAAATTGAATATTTCAACGTCTAAAGCAAAGTCTAATCCTCCTTTTTTTAACGCAATTTCTTATCCCGTGGATATCTAGAAAATTATGCAGTTTAATCGTTAAGTTTTATGGAAGATTAAATATTTAAGAAAAAAAAAATCTCACGTTGTAATTCACACACTTTCGTGTACACATTTCGAATACTCGATTGGATCGTATGGAAATAAATTGCAAATTTCACATACGCGAACTTGAAGTGAAATTTGAAATTAATTAATTCAAAGAAAAATTAATGCTTAAATTGAATATTAATAGTTTAAATATTTTGTAATTCCGACTCTGAAAACGTATCACGTCCTCAAGAAAAATCTCCAAATCCTCGACGAGTTTTTGAAGAAAATCGATTACCACTTTAAATGTAGTGTGACCGAGCTCTAACGACATTATGACCGGTGTCGTCTGTGTAAATCGAGTCTTAAATTCCAAGTGAAAATCTAGTCGTGTGTCGTGTACGTGGAACGCATGCAAATGAATCGAATGCACGAGTTTCCTAGTCGAGTTACCACCACCGGCTCTCCGTTCGTTCCGTGTTCTGCTCGAAAAACGAAAGTTTCTGGTAGAAACCGGACCAGAGAGAGAGGAATCGTTTATCAAATACTCGAGTACCGGTACCGCGAACAGAAGTCCCAACTTTTTCCATCGGATCCCCTCCAACCATTGCGAAACTTCCTCGAAACTTCCCTGTCCAAACACTGTTCACATTATTTCGCATCGATCTATGCTAATATCATCGAGAGAGAAATTCGAGATTTTTCGAATTTATTTTTCGTTGTCGATGAATTTTAAAAAAACATTTGTCTATTTGTTGAAATGTATCAACTTGCATTGCACATCGATCAGAGAATTCTATCAATTTTCACCAAGTTTTCACTTATCGACAATCACCATTGTCGCTCACTTTGACGTTACTTGTTACCCAAACTATCGAGGCGGTAACAAGAAGCGAAAGTATGGGTTCAAGTTCCGTACGAAACTTTTCAATCGAATACTTTGCGGAAGAAGACCGCTCGGGGCGCTTCGATAGCCGTAGACTACACAACCTCTGTCGAATCAATTAGCGACTCTCCCCACCATTTCAATTTACAGTCACACTTGTCTTTCTAGTTATTCTCTATCTGCACACTTTGTAGTCTACGATTTCTAGTTACTTTTCTTTCACTTCACTCAATTATAATGAATCAGAAATATTGGCCATTCGATCCATACTATATAGATTGTAAATTATTGAAACCATTTTTTCTGCTATATTTTTCTAATTCTGAAAATCCATTAGCATTCCATTTTTCGATCGAGTGATTCGATAATGGAAGAGCTGGTAAGTAACGTATTAGTGATTGGTTCATAAAATTATCCCCACTATATATGGACTTTTTTATACTTCACATCGTTTCTGAGAATCACTCAGCATTCTATTTTTCGATCATTTGTGATTCGATGGAAAGAGAAAGAATTAACCGGTTGAGAAAACTAGTTACTTTTCCTCTACCCGTTGCCTCTTAATTTACATTCACGTCTCCCTCAACTTGTTTCTCTGTAAAACAGAGAGGAAGAAATTACGGCGGATTTTGAATAAAAATACACACTTTCTCGCTACTTCAAAAACTTAGAAAACTTAGGAAGGAACTTTTTTCCTCGTCTCGAATCGAGGAAAACTGGATTTCACACAAAAGAGGAATACGGCAAGACGAAACAAAGGCGAGAAAGAAAAAAAGAAAAAAATTGAGAAGAGTGTCGCCATTTATCATTCTTCGACTCGGTCACGAATTAAAGCCATCCAACGTCGTGGTAAAACGTCGTGGAAAGCAACTTTTTATTTTCCTCTGTTTCTTATCCAACTTCTGGATTCCAGAAAGATACTTAAAAGGGTATACTTCGCATAACGGGATGCGCTTTCGAGGCGCGGAAGATTACGTGGAAGTACGATGTAAAGTACGAAGCAAAGTGCACGAGGCAATAAAATTTTTACTTTGTCGTTTTGAAAAACCAGAGAAGAAGATCTACAGCGGCATAATCTGAAACGAAGTCTTAGACAAGTCGCCTTTCAACTTCTCTCTTACGATCTCTTTTTCGAATTAAATTCACGTTCGCAGTGATAATCTTTTCTGCTAATTAAAAATTGAAAAGCACGAAAACGATCCGGATCGAAAAATTTTTTTCTTTAATTAATAAAAATCTCTTCAAACTCTTGTTAAAAGTTGAAAGAAATTTTTTATAATATACATAACCTATATATTAATTTATGATCATAATTTATTTTAATTTATGATTAATTTTTCATTTTTTGATTTTCAATCTCAATCTTCTTTATCATCGAACGAAAATTTCTTGTGAATCCTCTGTAATCCTCTCTTGACAATGTACGAATATAATCAATTTATAACTGATAAGTTGCTTTCGTTCTATCCTTTTTCATTTTATCTCGATGTCCCTGACGAAAGAAAGTTTTTACAATTCTCATCTCTTTTTAACAATACGTGTCCACGTTAATTCACGAATATAAATTTAACATTTCTTCCATTGCGTTAATAAAAATATCACGCGATATCCCTCAGAATAATGTAATAAAATATTCCATTTGAATGAAATCACGAAAAGAGATATTATAACAATTGGAAAAAGGATCAAGAAATCATAATGATCCAAATATTCATGAACGAAAATTTGACTCGTTTCCACGTAACGTTCACGAGGAAAGAAGAAGGCGAACGATTTTACTAATCGAATAATCCAGCAATTTCCGCTTCCATCTCGCTTTCGATTCGAATCTCTCACATTTACTCGTCGAATCCATTTTTGAGCGTGCTCGAGCGTGCAAACAGTTTCCACAACTCGTGGTATACAGCTGTTCCGTTTCCAAGGAATATCTCATCCGATTATAATTATTTTCCTCGAGTTTCATCCTCCGAACAAGCGTCGTCGCGCAACTGCGGTCGTGTCTTAGAAGTTGGCCAGTTTGTAGCATTAACACTTTGCCAGATCTAATGAAATTAGCAGTCGAGTATTAGCTCGGTTCGTTGTGAAACTTCAAGCTCAGGAATTTCTATCCTGTGAAAATTCGAGACATCCGTTTCTGAATATATGTATATATATATTCAGTTCTTTTAAATCAAATTTTAAATTAAATTCCATTTCCACGGTTGTTGTTGATAAAGAAAATCGTACAGTTCAAATAATAGATGTTCTACTGTACCTACTGTATGATTCGAATTTTAGGTTAATCGATAAATATAATTATAATAATAAAAAATTATCTCAAATTTTTTAATAATATACGCTATATTATTGAGAATAGTATGAGAAAACACGCGATAGAGATAAATCGTTTAACTATCGTAAGAATATATCGTGTCAAACTATAAGAAGTTTCGAAGAAAATGTTTAAAAACGCGAAATTCATGTGACACCATTTCTCTGTCGATAAAAAAGAGTAAAACGCTCGACGTGTCAAAGGCACGTTCGTTTCTATATTCTTTTTACTTCCGTGTCTCGCATGGTGGCTCTCTGTTCTTTGAAACGTACGATCTTCGCCAAGTGACACACGAATAGAACGTGTGTATCGAATTGAAACACATACTTCCTAACCTCTGAACTTTCTTATTTCCTTTATTTCTTTTTACCTTGAGGCGAGGTTTGTCTAATTCGTTTATCGATCGCTTCGTGATCACGCGTGTAATGTGTTCTCTTTTATTTTTTTTCTCTAGTACGAGATTATTACAAGAGAAAAATAAGGAAAACTCATCATACTATGACCTTTTCGAAGATGAAACAAAGTGCAGTGTCGAGAACTTAATACCATGTTGTGTAATACTGGCACAAAATTTATCCAAGAGAAGAAGAAATCCAAGAAAATCTCATTTCAGGATGTTGATAATTCAGCCAAATCCAAGCTTTGCCTATTTCTTTCCTTAAAAAAAGGATTTTTTTCAAGATCAGAGAATATATTTAGAAAAGTCACCCGACATTAAAATAATTTGAATTGTTAATATCATTAACTTACTGATACTCAACTTATTTATCCTTTTGTGCATTTCTTCAATTTTTATTTTTTATTCTTCAAATATGTAGATTATTATAGAAACGTAACAAAAAATATTGCTATATCATAATGTTAATATATTCGTCGAATTTTCGAAGAATCGATAATGACTATTAACTTTTTACGATTATGATCCACATTTCTATTTTGCATCACCAATTATCCCAATAACGATTATCTCTGTAAATACATTTTTCTCCGTTTAAAAAAATTGACTATCGAAGGAAAGAAAATCTAATTGATACAATTTTTATAAAACGATAATCTGATTATTTTTTCTTGATCACACCTTGTCATTTCAGATTTTGTAAGAGGATCTGAAAGATCGAAGGTAACATTTTAATTAATCCCACAATGTTCGGCATCACGGATGTTAAAATCAAACCGAGAGTTTTCCGTTTAATCTGGCGGCCCGTTGCTTCGGATTTTCACTCGTATTCCGGTATTACCGAGTCCATCTCGAGTTAAATATTAGCGTTAATTCCAAGACAAACTTCGCGGCGGTCATAAACATCCGCTAGGTTAATACAGGATTCCATTAGGATTCCCTTTAGCAGCTTCTAAATTCCAATCATCTCCCTTCGGAATCGACGGTTGTCTGCCTCGTACCGTCGAATTAAATTCCGTTCCGAGTTCGATCGTATTAAACCGTAAATAATTCATCATTTCATTTTTCATTAACACTTATTGGTATATATGTATATATATAAATATAATAATCGAATGATCGAATCGATCCATTTCGTTTTATATTATGATCCCTTTCGAAAGAATATCTCATAAGACTTGAATACATAACGAATATCGTTTCGAATTACACACATATCGCTCCTTTCGTAAAACATGGGATCAAGATTCGACTTGAATGTATCGTCACGATACGTTTCGAAATATTCCCTTTAAGAGAGATATATCCTTCGTTCAACCGCTGTATTTATAAACAAGGCTTACGTCGCTCGTCGTGTACACACACACACACATTCTCCTCGCGCTTGTTTCTCAACGGTAATCGATCCGAAGGAAAAGAAAAAAAATTCCTTCCAAACACACAAGGAGTTATATACAAATCGTCTAAACAATCTCTCGCGTTCTTCTTACACCTCTCAGCTACAAACAACCGTCAAAGAGTTAGACAAAGAAAAACAAAAAAAAAAAAGAAGAATACATTTCCAATGATAAAAATTGATTGATTACGAACCGATGGTGGAGCGAGTCTGCGAGTGAACGATGGGATTGTTGTTGGCCTCCGAGTTGGTCGTCTGCGGTCGATCGGTTATGGCGGCAGTGGTGGTGGCGGCTACAGTGCTCCCGGCGGCCGAGGTGAAGCTCGGCACGGAGGACGTGGAGGACGGGTTGGTCGCGTTCAACGGCTTAGACGACCAGGAGCTGCAAGTGTCGCAACCCTCGGCGGAACGCGTCGACAACCGGCAACAGGACCACCGTTTTCCACTCCAAAGCCCGGCGTGGTAACGGCCGCTCAGACCTGGATTCTCGCTGCACACTGAAACAAAGTGGGCTCGTGAATCGGTTATAAATCGGTCTCGATCAGAGAGGAAGGCGAAAGATTTTCATTTCTGTTTGATGGGTTTTTAAGGATCGAAATTTTTTTTTTTTTTTAATTTAATTTAGTCAGAATCGTGTAGAGGAAGAAATGAAGAGATTCATATTTTCTTTATATTTCTTGTAAATTCGATCGCGATTCACATCATTTCGGCGTTTATGTAAAAAATTTTCAATCAAACTCGCGTTTGATTAGAGTGCGCGTTAGCGAGGCAAATTTTCACGTTATAAAAATTTCTCTTGTATTCTATCGTTCCATTCCGATAATGAATAGATTATAAATAACACAATGGTCGCAAAGTATTTCTCTTCCATTTTTCTCGTTATTTATTTACATATACTCGTATACAAAGTATTAATATAATACCGTCGTTCGCCGATATTCAAGCGAATTGGAGATCGTTAATTGGAGGTATAGGGGATTTAAGTGTGAGCTTGATTTCTAGTTTCGACGAAGTGGTAGCCAAGAGTTTTTCAATTTTTTAAATTATCGAAGAGGATTCTCATCGAGCGAATAAAACTATACACTGGTCAAAAGAGAGAGAAAGAAAAAAAACAGATAATAATCATACTTCAGTGATCTTAAAAAAAGAAAAAAAAAATTAATTTCTAGAAAAACATTTGATTTATTCGAAACAAACCTCTCTTTCTCGTGCAATATATTTATTTAAACAAACGATGTATTATTATTATCTCTTTACAAATA